CTGAGCGCCGGGCAGGAACAAATTTGGGAAGCAGAGGACCTTCGTGCCTGCCGGGCAACGCGTCGGCTCAGTTTCACTAATGTCTACGCATCTCAGCATCCGGGTGGCCTGATGGCTTTTTGAAGGTCCACGCCATAGATCCGTTCTGTCTCTCTCCAGACCTGAGAAGAAGAACAAGGCAAACAACTGAACTGGTGACGTGCTGTCGCACTGCAGATCGTTGCAGAGTAGCGGCAGTCTTCTCGATCATGTGGGGGTTCTCTTTCCACAACTGGCACGGCCGCTCGAGTAATTCCTTGCTTCACAGTGATGAGATGCCGCGCTCCTTGCCCAAGCGGGTGACCAAGTCGTAGCCCGTCTGCTGCCGGTCGACGTGCTGGCCACACAATTCTTCGCTAAATTTGGGGCGATTTCGGACTCCGTGGCCTTCTCGCCGAAGACGCGGCACATACAGAGCAGCTCCTGCTGCTCCTGACGCAGTCTAAGTATATTGCACTGACAGACAATACCCGGTCAGTCAAAAAAGATTCGATGCATGATGCATGCAATCTATTTGTACCGTGACTGCGCTAAGCAGAAGCTGCCCGGTGCCTTCGTGAAGCGCCTTCCGAAGCCGACAGGAATGAACCCGGGGGCATCCAGAAACTCGAGCTCCGTGTTCCTCCGCGGGGCCGGCAGCAAAGTTTAAAGATACGCGATGATATTTGCCAAGTCCGAGGTCCTGAAACCACCAATCTTGTGCCAAGTGAGTCTCTTGGTCAGGCCCGGCCGCCCGTTCTGGCAGAATTCTCTCTTCCCCATCGTGCAAGAGAGATGAGCGCCGCACCCTTGCAGCCACTTTGCGGCCGGTGAGGCGATTAATGATGGAGCTCTTCCCGACCTGGGTGGGGATTTGAGATTCCGAGTTCGAGCCTCGCTGCCTCGCTCTCGACCTCTCTGAGGCGGAAGCATTTGGAAAGCCTATCCTTCGTTTCTCACAAGCGCCACAAAAAGACCGAAAGCCAAAGCGATCTCGAAGACAGGTAGCATCATTGTGCGAATGGCGCGCGGGTTGATGCCCTTGCGCTTTCTCCTGTCACTGAACCGAGGCATCTCCGTCTCCCCCTTCAAGGATGTGTCCTTCGGTTCACATAAGCTCCCGCTTTGAGCAGCTCTGTTCGAAGCTCCTCTCAACAACAGGAGACGGTCAGATGGCCGCGAGATGTAATGAGATTGTAATGAGACTTACGAATGAACGCTTCTGAATCTCCATCCTGGAGTGCCTCTCCTCGATTCCAAATGTGCCCAGCAGGGCATCGACTGCCACCACGGGTACTCCCCGGTCACGCTCACTCTCGTTGATGTAGCGTATGGTTTCCTGCGCATAAAGCCTAGGCATGAGCACCGTCGCAGGATGAGGCGGCGTCCTCGAGAGCTGCACGTGGGACGAGATCAGCCTTGGTCAGCACGATGACCCGCGGCCTTGGGCGTGCCCAGCCTGCGCTTGCGGAGCCATTCGGGTGCCGAAGCAGAGCACCAAATTGCTTCCTGGAACGTCCGGATGAGTCGTGGTCCAAGGAATCCGAGCATCACGAACCTCTGCGCAAGTACGACTGCCTGCATGAGCAACAAACAAGCTCACACACCTCGATGACCACGTCAACTCGCTTCATGTGCTGCAGCTGCATGTCTCTGATGGCCTTGCGGTGTTGATCTTCGAGCAACGCAAAGCAGGCCAATGTGATGCAAAGGAGGCTGGGTCAATTCTTTGCAGCCGTTGCTTGGACCTGGTACCCTGAAGTAGGCTGCCGGCAGTGGTCTGGTAGCCTGGCCGCCAATCAATGGGAATGTCCTTGCTGGCAGCGCCTGCAGCACGAAGCCCAAGTCATGGAAAGGAATTGCCGAAAACGAGCTCCGAACTTAATCGGAGGTATCGCTGGTCACCAGCGGCCTTTGGCAGGCAATGTGAGCTGCAAGCTCTCTGTTTGATGCGTCAACAATCAGAGCCTCTAAAATCTCCTCTGCACTCATGGATGCCAGCTTTTTCCAAGAGTTCTTCTCCACCTCACGAGTCACCCCAGCAGCTGCAAAACTGCACGAACCCGGCGTCCTCCCTCCATCAAACTGAACTTGGCAGTTGCTGTTCCGGTGTCGCGCTTGTAGGCTGCACTACGGAAGTGCATCCGACGCGCCTTGAAGCCATTGATGCCACCCAAGAGCTGCGTGCCTTTCACATCACTGTGATCGTGGATGCCCATTCCAAGCAAAAGGCCCCGAAAGATTTTGCAAAATAGCGAAGATGTACATACAACCTTCGGGTCTTGTACCTTGCTGCAGCAGCTGCCTGTGCTGCCAGTTGCATTTTACTTCAACCGCTGCGACCCTAATGCTCAGTAGATGGCCGTTCATGATGTGCTGCATGTCAGTCCCCAAGACTGCTAGATGCGCTGCCAGCTATTGGAAGGAAGAACAAGCTGTGGCTTCTAGAGATGATACCTGCGCGACAGCCCAACTCCGCAGAAGGGTCATAGCTATCTAGTTTCTTTGATACAAAACCAACGAAGCCTGCGCCGTTTGGTCAATGGCAACTCTAGACACCTCAAGTTTCGGGCCCGATTGACACGGTTGACGGGCTCGACAACTGAAGCTTACAAGCTCAGACGGTCAAGGTGAGATGAAGTTGGCCAGGCCACTTAGACTTACAGAATGGAGCCGGATTGAGGAAACCGCACATACTGCTGAGACTCGTTACAAGCAGATCTGGGAGCAGTCAAGCTCGAAGTACTAACTATTGTATGCTCGGGACACTATGCCCTCTGCAGATTTACTTCTCATGTTTTATTGCAAAACATGGCCTGCCAGCTCGAGACGATCTTTCGGGCTCGGGAGATATCGCAGGTTGATCCCGTCCTTGTCAGATCCCGAAACACGATTTCAGACATGATCGCCATTGCGTCTCCCAACGTCTCCTGCTCCATTCTCTTGATCAGCTGCGCTTCGTAGTACTTCTTCATCTTCCTGACTGAAGCAAGTCTGTGTTTTGCGCCGACAAACCAGAAAACTTGTGCTCAAGTCACGTACATGCGGCCTCTTTACAAACTTGCTGGTCTGCCAGAACGGCTTGTCTTCTATGTACTGAAGTGGCTGATACCTCCGAGCTGCACAATCCGCATAAGCATTGTGTAAGCACTTTCGGCTCACTGTGGTGTCGGAGAGTAAATGCCCAGCTGGCGCTTCAGTCGCCACCTATGCAAGATCCATGCAACAGGGGAGCCCGCGGCAACAATCTGCGAGCCTCCGCCTTAGCCATTCAGGGCCCGGGCGGCTCCTTCTCCTTCAGGTGCTTCAGGGCTTCCGCAGGTGACCGATTGTTCACCATCTTCATGAGCTCCTTGCTGGCGACTGATCATCAGCAGCCGACTTCTGCAAGCAACCACCTGCTGAGGGCCCAGCGCTGAAAACAGGAACCTTGAAGTCGTCCACGTCGGCGGGCAAAGGCATGCGGTAGGCTTCTGGCATCGGGAGCGCTGCGATGTCGAAAAACTTTGCAATAGCTTGAGATGTTCATCATTATGCCAACGCACACCCAAAGCGCTGAAAGAACATCTGAAGAACACCAAACCCTACAGTCACCACAGCCTCAAGAACCACTCCAAAGAATTCCTGATGCTCCCAAAACAACCCAGGAAACCAAGTTGGGCATCGCACTGTGCGGGAGCACTGTTGGCCAAACCCTTACAACGGTGGGATTTGGAGACCACGCCAGGCCACTCCAAGAGGAGGCGAAAAGTGTCGTGCGTTCCAGGAGGAGGAACCCCCTAACGAAAGAAGTCCAATTTGTTGGTCTCACTCTGTCGCACTGCTGTTGCAAGTCAAAGCGCCACTTCCAATGGTAATGTGTCAGTGTGACTGGTCAAGCCACCCCACTGGTCCTGCACAGTCTCCACAGATAAGCACCGCTACGTGCCCTGCATGCTTCCAGAAAGAGCAGTCCCGATCTGTTCGAATCACGCCGCCCCACCCTTCTCCAGGCCGTGGGTCTTTAGCAACTGCAGCCCAAGCATTGCTCGACATGAGTGCCAGGTCTGTTCGTGCGAAGACGGGAAGGCACCTTCTTTGCCAACAGCTTGCGACTGCCGTGCGAGGGGTGACCAGCATGTCCGTTTTCGTGTTGCCGCAAAGCACCTCGAAGAGCCCAGGGCATCGGCGCAGGAAGTCGTGCATGCTTTCGTCTGAGCCCTGCAGGGCCGTGGGACTCTGGCAGACCGCACCACAGTGCGAAGCTCTTGGAGGACCAGGAACGCTGTGGTTCACCTTGTCGACATGAGAGAGTAAGAAACTGAAAGAAACATGCGAGGAGCTTCCCACCTCCAGGCTCGGCGCTCAGTGGCTCGCTTTGCTCGTGCCTCGGAGGCCTGCAGCTGCCGAGCCGTGCACAAAAAAAAGCTTATGGAAGACACACAGAGACAAAGAGAGAGAGAGAGAGAGGCCAGAGAGGCAGAGGAATAGCCTCCATGCTCTGTGAACCAACGGGGAGCCACGATTGCAAGGGACCAGCGCCATGGAACAAGCTACAGCCGTGTAAGATCGCAATTAAGTTTCTGTGATTTCTAGTGCTAGCGAAGCTTCTGAGATGTAGGGACACTGCGATTCGCACCCGGGCATCTGCAAGGTTTGAATGCATCGGATTTCTGTTGGAGTCCCTGCGTCATCATGGAGCCGAGAGGAAAAGTTGAGAATCAAAATTCGCACTCCTTGTCTCTCTGTGCCTACGGCCTACGGAACCCTCGAACCTCGACCTTGGCAGGCGGAGGGACCTGCAACAAAGCAGTCGTTGCCGGCCGGGTTTCGGTTCCGTCTGAGGTAGCGGCGGCCGAAGTGACGCTCTGGATCCCCATCGGCCGGCCGAAGTGCACCAGGGTCGGACCACCGGCCTCTGCGCTTTTCGCCAAGCTGGACTTTTCCCAGGTCGAATCGGCGGCAAGACTGCAGACCGAATTTTTCAACGCGCAGGACGGTGTCTACGAAGCAGCCGCTTGCAAGCACTCTTTGCACGTTGGACTCCTGCCAGGTTCGAGCACAACACACACAGACAGACTCCTGTGAGCAGTAAGCTCAGCATGCACGGACAGTGCGATCCACCATTAGACCATCCTCCGATGCTTGGTCAGCTGCGCCTGTCCGACACGGAAGTTGACATTCAAAGATCGGGCATTAAGTTCTAGCCGACGGGCCTTGCTGAAGTCTTCGCGGGGCTTTTGGCGGTGGCAAGCAGCACACTGGCAAGGCCAAAAGAGCAGTCATGCGAAGCACCAGTCGGATCCAACATAACCGAACGGGATGCCTGTTGAACGGTGCCATGCAAAAAGCGAGGAATTCTCAGGTCCGCACAGCCTGGAAACCTTCCTCTGAATCCGGAGCACATGCAACGTCCCCTGCCGCAGCGAGCTAGGTCGTGAAGGCCGTGATGGGATGACATTATCTTACGATGATCAATGACCACGACTGGACGAGCGCTTGAGGACAAATTGACATGGCCAGGGAGAGAGCCAGCATTCTGGGGGTGATTTGGCAGACCGAGCACTGCAAGGACTGATCCTGCACGCCAGCTGCCTAGTGGCCTATTTAAAGTGTGATCACTTGATGTGGCAACGCCTGCTTCATGCGTGGGAGCAATACCAATCAAACTGTGTATACCCGGGAGGCAACCTTCATACCAAGATTTGTTCGGGTACTATTGCTTTGGTGCGGTTGTGTCAGCGCTTGAACCCGGAAGGTCTGGAGCATGTGTGCCTCTTGCCAGTGGCTCATGAGGTCTGGGGGATGCGATACAACATCTGCCTTCTTTTAATCCATTCTCGTCACACCGACTGAGAAGCTGCAAGATTTCGAGCAAGCGTAGGGGTACTCAAGCCTCGATCTCCAAAACGACGCATAGCGCATCGAAAACACGGGATGTTGTGCAGCGTGCAACGACATCCGCGCAAGTGGCCAACTTGCATTTGTGCCTCCCAGCTCCTGGAAAAGCTCCCTGAGTTGACGTCTGGGGCACATGCCCATGTGGCGGCCGACGTGCAGGCAGTCTAGTCTTGCCAACTGCGCCCAAAACATTCGCACCATTCCTCGCCAGCTTACAAGCGGGCTCTCCACCCCTCTGCCAATCAGATCGTTTCGGACAAACCACATGTTGTGCTCGCAGTATGGACAAGAACTGTGCGGATCGAAAAATTCCATCCCGATGAGCGAATATCCTCGCAGAGATGCCTCACGGAATACTGCGTCGACAGATGCACCGTAGGCCCCCCGCTGATCCCTGCATTCACACTGCGGGTCATATTCCAAGTGGAACTGAAAGGGGGGCGGGATGTCGTGGTTCACTTCAACCATCAAGATTTTGGGAGAGTATCCGCTGCGCAGAATGGTCTGCAGTATCGGCAAATCAATGCTGTCGATATTGATCTTCAGAGCCTCGAAATCACGGGGAACCCGGAACTTCCGAAATAAGACCTTCAAGTTGACAGGGCTTACTCTTTGAATTGAGATAGAGACCTGCTCGCTGCTGTTGACCTGCGCTAAGTTCTGCGTCAAAACATCGCGCCAACTTGGCTCGGCTTCTATTGCTAGGCCAGCATAGCCTTTTTCGAAGAGTGGGTAGACAGGATCATGATCGCGACCATCCCGGGCACCGATGTTCACGGCAAAGCCGTTCCCGCTCGGCAGGCTCAGGAAGTGATCAGCAAGCATCTGAAAAGTAACCTGTGGAAAAACCCTGGGCAAAGCCTTCCAGGATCCGTCTTCTGCAGATGCGACGATTGCAAGAAGGTCTTGCATCTTCGTCGCAAGCCGAACATGCTTGGGAATGCAGAAGCCCAGCCGCACCCACAGAGGCAAAACGAGGATGCGCCACTGCATCTCACCACTGTTTTGGCTGCGGGGCAGTAGCTTGCTATCGAACCAATTGGCCAGGCATCTTCATTCGTTTTGTGCCATCACCCGAGGAGTAGATGGAGTAGCCGGACATACGTTTGTCACTTTACCACTTAGGGCGACGATAATCATTCCTAGCAGCTGGCATCCCCAAAAGCATCAACAAGCCCTATTTGCATGATTCTGATTCTTTTGTATTTTTCTCTTACCGGCTCCTGTCATTATCCTGGCAGCTATGCCTGTTGAAGCCTGACATCTCACGTGCAACAGCAAGCCTGATCTGTGCAATGGACAAACTGGATCTTTTTGTTGACTTGCTGATGAGGATTTGGGAGCTGAGGTAGGGTTTCGGTGAAGGCTTCGTGCTTAGAGTTGACGGTGTCTGTTCTTACCAGAACCGATGTTTCGGGCTGCAGCAGGCAAGAAGCAAAGCCTGCCTCTGTCTTGCTCTGGCCCAGCAGGCCCTCTGGGCCCGCCATGCAATCGAACCTTACAGCCCAAATCCGCCTCTCTCTGCTTGGCCCAGGAAAGGCCGGGGAAGGGGCATACCACTCCGGTTCCTGTCCTCTGACCGGGCCTTGGAAGATCAGTAAGCCAGTAAGTGAAGGTTCACTTCCGGATAACCTTCCACGCACGTCGACATGCTACGAGCAGGCAAAAAGGATCTGACGGCCTTCCTTCAGTGGTGGCAGCGGCTTTTTCCTTGTGGCAGATCGTCATGCAACGCTGACTTGTGGAAGAATTGTCGACGCAGCCAGCTCCTACAACTACACTCCTGCACACGCTTATGATACCTGCAAATCTTGCTTGCTCTGCCTTCGCACCCAGTGCGTGCCACTGCAAGCCTGGCAGTCTTCCTAAGGACGAGTGACATCAGGGAATGCTTTTGAGCATATCAGCAGAGCGCTGAGATGGCAATGTTGAACATTCATGCGCTAGGCAAAAGATCGCAAGAGCGCACTCTGCAGTTGCATGCTGCGGCGATGGAGCCACATGTTCCCGTCAATTGGCTAGCAGGCACCCGGAAGTTGTTCCTGCTACTGTTCCTGGTGTTCAAGAACCTGTGTTGCATACTAAGGTGAGTGCCAAAGTTCCGTTCGGGCTCAGGGCCTGGTCGTGCCCCTTTTGTAACACTGGCTTGCCGCATGGGCTCACTCCGTATGCATCCGTATGCCATGAAGGCTGCTGTAAAAGAGCATTACGCCAAGAAGCATGCTACAAGGGATACCTCCTTGAAAGCCGTTCATAAAGCTCGGGCTAAGCAATATCGAAGAAACCCTGACTCTCATCCCGCCATCAAAAATGGCAAAGAGCAGTTGTCCAAAGCTCTTAGACGAAAGAATGTTGAAGAGCTTGCTCCTAAAGGCACTGGGCATCACTTAGTGATTTGGCAGCCTGATAGGGAGCCCATGACGAGAATGCTCGCGCCTTGACTTTGAGGGTAGAAGGCCCGAGAGCTTCCAGGACGTCCACCAGGGAGGCACCTTGGAACACATTCCAGACTATCTGAAGAGCCTGAAGCAGCATTTAGGGTTTAGGGTTTAGGGTTTAGGGTTTAGGGCATTCCAGACCATCTGAAAAGCCTGAAGCAGCATTTAGCCAGCTCACTTCCCCAAGCCCGACATCAACCAAGGGGCAATGCACATCCCTGATACGCGGACACGACAAGATCCAGCGCATCTCGAGCCACCCTGGCTCAGGCTCCTCACCGGCGATGCACAGAAACAAGTGACCAACAGCAGATTTAATAGAGCAGGCTTCACGGTACATGAAAAGCACTGATCGAATATCCAAAAGTCCATCTGCTTATGAACAGTCGACGTGAATCATGAAGCTGTACTCAACCAACCCTTGAAATCAGGATAAACATACCGCCGTGAAAATACAAGTCACCAATGTTGAAACACTACAGCGGCATGTGCTGACAAAAGAATCAGCAGGTACGCTCTTCAGAGAGCACAAGCGCCAATCTGGAGCAACAGCAGCCAGAACCAACACACAGAACTACCACACTATCCACCACCAAGCAGCACCATCTCCACCTCCTCCTTCTGCTCCTCCTCCTGCTGCTCCTCCTCCTCCTCCTCCTCCTGCTGATCCTCCTCATCCTCCTTACCCTCACCCTCACCGTCATCATCACCACCACCAGCAGAATCATCACCCTATGAACCCTATGTTTCGTTGTCATCTTCGTCTACCCTCCCGATACATATCATCAAGAGCAACCACCACCGAAACCACGGCAACAACAACAACAACAACAACAATATCCGCAACGATGACGACAGCAGCAATACCCTAGTCACTGTCACCGGCGCCCACTGCATAGCCGTAACCGAAACCGCCGCAACAACATTCGTGTCCATATCCGCTCCAAGGTGCCTCGACAATCTTTTCTTGGAAAAACCTGGCAGCTGGCAATCTCCTTACCTCTCGGGTGCCGGCTCCAACCAGGCCGGGAAAGCCAGTCTTGCTTCAGATTCTTGTCCTGCAAGTCCAAAGGAGCCATACCCTGCGCCCTGAACCCGGCTCTGCACAGCTCACAGCAGGAGCTGCCCGGTCAGAGAGGTAGTATTCGATTTGGCGGCGCACAGCGCGCAGGTACAGTGCGCGAACTCCGCGTCGCTGCACCGCCTAGCAGCGAGCACAGAGGACTGCGCAGTCATGTGCAGCCCGAGTGATTGCACGGGTCTGGTTTCGCAGAGCTCGTATTTTGTGAGTCGCCTTGTACGCGAAGCCATCATCGCCACAACGCACAGCCTTCGGATACCCTGTCGGTGAAGGTGCCGCGGCTGTCTCGGCAGCCTGTGCCTGGCGAAACTTTCGAGCATGAGATCTTGCAAATTCATCTTTTCGTTTTCGGCGTCGCTTCGAGTCTATGACCTCGCTGCTTTCGGCAAGTTCCAGAATCTCAGCAACAGCCTCAAGGCACAAGGCTTCTCAGACCTTTGATGATGCGATGCAGGGGGTATCAAGAACGTCACGAGTAGAACGGGCACTGCCTCATCAACATCGCCATCGTCGCAAGCACGCCAGAGCACGAATCCTTCCGCCTGCACAAAAAACGAAACCGGCAAGCATCAGAAAACCCCAAATAAATAGAAGGCTCCGGAGCAGCTGCTCCGCTTCTCTGCGTGTTCACTGAAGAAGGGGCTTGCTTCCGCTCTTCAGCAGGAAGGGACTGGGCGCTCAACGACACAGAAGCCCATTTGCATGTCTTTCAGGCTCCCGAGAAAGACACCGGTTTGCGCAAAGTTTCGTCCTACTGCTGCGACTGCGAAGCTTATTGCCTCCATTGGGACTTCCATGCGATCTTGGAAAGCAGATATGACCTAGGCAGTGCTGTGATCCGGGCTTGGATATATGCACGCTGCTTCTTATGCAAATCGCACGTCTAAAGCCCTAAGCCTAGTCCGATCGATGCTCAGCTGTCTGCTTCGAGGCTGGAGTCGTTGGCCGGGAGAGTTTTATGGCCGAAGCGATGAAGCACTCGGTCGCCACATTCCTCCTGGCACTGCTAATGATTGTCACCGCTTCAGATGCTTTGTGCAAGCTCGAAGGCCAACCCAGATCTGGCTCAGTACACTTCGCCATTTTTGATCGAAAGAGCTGCGTGCCGAGCCCCCTTTAGGGACCCGTCACAAGTACTGGCACGGAAAGCCCATGCAATAAAAACTCAGGCCTTGAAAATTCCATCATCATCTCACCCTTCCGCTTGCCGTGCACAATAACATTTGCCAAAGTGAGAACATGGCTTGCGCCAGGTACTTCAGCACCGCGCAGCAGCCGAATTACAATGATGGCATTCAGCACCACGCAGGTGCCCCATCTGCCATCTGCTAAAACAACCTGCTGCACGGGGACCGTTGGCATGGGCGATCGTGGTTGTGTCATCCGTGGCTTTCCGAGATATAAAACATGTGTGCATGCAACCAAGGAACTCAAAGCTAGCACAAAAAAAGATGTACGGACGAGGTGTCTGCGGATATACATGCAGGGCCTCCCAACTATGATGCGTACAATCGCAAAACCGTTGTACAGTTAATGCACAAACTCTCCATCTTCTATCCAAAACAGTAGCACATTCCGAAGAGAATCCGTGCTGCAGCCCGTCATGGCGCTCCTTGCCGCATCATTCCCATCATCCTTAAGGCAACTCGCCCCACACAAGCGCATGTCTTAGAGTCTTAGATATTGCTCGCGTATCGTCAAGAATCCGTATCGCTTGAGCTCATACCACTCACATGCTTTTTTGTTCAAACCTCCGAGATTTGCAACTGAATAACACCACCGCTTGCACCACCTTGCTGATGCTGGGTAAATAAGGTAAGCTGTTCACCTCAGATTTAGAACCCGCCCGCTTTCTGCAGAATCCAAGCGGCCGAAGAAAAACACAAATCGATGCCGACTCTTACTGAAATTGACAGCCAGTGTCTCTGAACCACTCGAGCCAGTGTACTAGTTGCAACATGATGCATACCTGTGAGTGTGCCAACCGTCATTGCTGAAAGCATAGGCCATATAGACCATGCAAATGCGTTTAAACGAGAGGGGAGGGGAGAGGGGACGGAAGGAGAAACGGAGGTAGGGAGGTAGGGAGGGGAGGGCCGGGGGGAGGAGGGACCGATGTGTTTTCGGCCATGTCGGCTTATGATGTCTCTGAGCAATCTGAGCTGAGCTGCAGAGTGTAAGGCTGGGGTTCGGAATGTAGCTTCAGCCTTATGCGCACATTAGTTTGTTGATTGAGGAGTTAGTCTATTGCAGAAGTGAGCTACTACATGTACAGGATGATGCTGGAGGATCTATAATGTTTGCGGAGGCGTATACATTCATGTGAAACAAACTACACATGTATCGGAAGCCATGGGACAGAGGACCATTGTATATGAGGGGTCTGTCGGCTTCATCCAATTGCATCAGGCCCTGGGACGTTTGTGGCCATGGGACACTGCATCAAGTTTAAGAAGCCTAAGAGCTAAGCATATTTAATGTTTTCAAGGCTCGTGCGAGACTGCCAACATAAACAAGAAACGTAGGGGGTGAATATCACTGTAAGAAGACTTGAGCCGAGGATCGTTTGTACAAGGCACTTTTCGGGTATGTAGAAAATTACAAAGGTACATAGAAAGATACATAGATACGCAGACACACAGATGCATAGATACATACACATAAATTACATATATACACACACACACGCACACACGCGTGCACATGCATGCACGCACGTACATGCACGCACGCACGCGTGCAAGCAAGCATGAAGACATACATACATACATACATACATACATACATACATACATACATACATACATACACACGTACTACATACTTCACTTCACTTCCCGCTGCCAAGTCCGTAGCCTTGGCGAGTGCATGTGAGGACAAAGCTTCATGGCCTCGGCTTTAGGCTGCACATTGCACATCCCCGAACAAAGAAGGAGAAAGAGCTCAACTCCGCCACTCAAGCTCTGACATAGAAGAAAATGTAAGAGTCCCGATCAGCTGGAAACAGCATCCTCAGAGCAAAGGGTGGCGGCACGATTATCATCCGTCACATAGAACTGATCGCACACAAGCAGTATGGACTGATAATGGCCGGAATACGGCGTGCTACCCTTGTGAGTGGCGATGGCACTCAAGTGACAAGTAATCCAGGAGACATGTATGCCATCGGTAAACACAGGCATACGAAGCTCCCGAAGAGGAATGACCCTATACCTCACTTGTGGATGGCATGTCCCCTTGTCATCTAGGCGGAAGCGCCCCGCCTGCAATATCAATGCCCTTGGCACACTAACCATGGCATGTCGCGCAGCCTGTCCCGACCACTCATCCACCAACTGTTGAATAGTAATCGCCTCAACCTTATCCTGAACCACGTCAGAAGCCGGACAAAAATGAAGTGGAAGGGAGCATCCCGCACCCTGCACAGCTACTACTCCAGCATGTTCGAGTCTGGCCGCCCAAATAATCCCACACGTATCACTAAGCTGAGGACACCGGCTGACAACAAACTGAAGGAACTCCGCAATATCGTGTTGTTGGTGGGGGCCGACCCAATCATTCATGAGCTGCTGCCAGGTCAGGTCATCCCACACTGTGATGGGGCTCCCAGCATTCAGAAGCCCCTGTAGAATGAATGCTAAGCCTTTGGGAACAAGGATGTGTGCCCTGTTCGCTCAATCTCGATTGTCATCAGGCAATGGAGCAGCGCATTGATATAGCAACGATTACCGACATTCATGAAGTGAAGCCGGAGGATTTGCCCTTGCCTTTGCTCTTCGCTCCTTGCCGTTGTTGCTGGGCCTGGGCGATCTTCTGCGCAAGCGGCCCCCTCTTTAGCCTCGCACGCCGAGTGAAAGCTCCTCCGACGATCCACGCCGCGGAGTAGCTCAGGATGTTGAGATGCTTCCACATCTGATTTGCTTCCTGAGTGCGTAGGCCCACATCTAACATGAAAGTTATCGTCGTGTTCTCTTAGGAGCTCGCTAGGTCCTGCGTGGCATGGAACCGATTGGTGGCTTGCCTGAGGTGCGACATTCGGTCACTCGGGTTGATCACACGTCGTCCTCCGAAAACCATCCCAACTGCTTGGCCATGGTCATCTTGTCGGGGGAGCCCAGGACCTGCTCGTAGCGCTCCACAACGGTGCTCAGGAACTTCTGAATCAAGATTGCCCTCATCGGGGACTCCAGCTTCTCGGGCGACGTCTTCACCTCGCTGCGCGCTTTGCCCGCCTCGTAGAGGATCGTGCCGAGGTTGTTCACCGTATCGGTGCGGATGAAGATCATGAAGGCATAGTCCTGGGCATTGACGGTGAGCTGGTTGTCGTGACGCAGGGTCCGGGTTGTCAGTTTGAGAGCCTGGACTTCCTTCATGAGCGCATCCTGGCCTGTCTGGTCCTTCTGGTAGTCGTCCCACTGCTCGCGCCACTGGTTCGTACTGTGACCTGCCCCCCATGAAGGGTCGGATGTTCTGGCCTGTGCCACTTGGGCCGGTCTTCGTTCGGCATCTCCCAGCTGAGTTGGGACTCTGGCGTGATCCTCCATGCCCTGGACCGGCATCTCCTCGTCGTACTCGTGCCTCTGCGCTGGCGGTCGCAGCCTGCGTGGGAGTTGCGTCGGCGGAGCTCCTCTCGGGAGAAGTGACTCGATCATTCTCAGCTCCGCCGCTCCTCTCGGGAGAAGTGACTCGATCACTCTCAGCTCCGCCGCTGCCTCCTCCAACTCGATCTGGGCCGGCCCTGGTGCCTCCATTCTTGCAGAATGGAAGAGGTGGGCCACGAGCAACGCGCGAGTGCACATATGCCCCACAAAACAGTCCGGCACACGAGCGAAGATGGGCGCCCTGTCTTTGAAGGGGGATGCGGCAAAAGCGGCACGGACTTTGGATCCCTTGGTTACCGTCACGGACAAACTGAGTGCAATCATCTATCAGCTTCACAACCTCCGGATGCTTGGCTTTCATGTCACGCTTCATGTAGGTGGGTGAGGTGACCCAATGATGACATTCAGGGCAGCGCTGTATGTTCTACAGGATGGCAGGATGAGCCACTATTTCAAGCCAGGTGTGATTTCGCGCGAAGTCAAGCATGTCTTCTCTCTGCACAAGAGCCTGAGAGAGATCTGCAAGAACAAGGCCTGCATCTGCATTTTGATAAAGAGCCCTGAGACCGTCGCAACTTCGGGAGTTCACACGATAGTAAAAGCTGGGCCAGTTATTGAATCTCTGAAGCACCCCGTCCTTGGCACCCTCCATGGGGGCTTGCTTAGCGTGTGACTTCACAGCCTCTCTGCGATCACGCTGTTCAGAAGCCTCCATGTGCGACACATATCTATGTCTCTGTAGAGCAGCCTCCGTGCTGAACTGTTGTCCACATTCTGTACACTCAAAGAGCTCATGAAGGACTTGATCAACAGGAACAAGCTTAGCAGTCTGCGTCGATAGCTTTTGCTGGGCTCCACTCAGATCTGCCCTCGCATCCTCAAGGTGTCCTCTCAGCACATTGCGCCATTGCAATTGCACCTGGCTCGGGCGGAGGCTCTCACTCAGGTACTCGTCAGCGGTTGGCCTTCGGGACAACGCCTGGTAGAGGGTCTCCACTGGCAGGGAGATCTTCATCCTGAACATGAACTGCTGGTTACATTCATGTGTGATCATACTGTGAGATCGGCCGGTTAGCCGGACTTGGTGAATGATCAGTGACGTAATCTGTCTCGCCTCCGTTTTCGGCAGGCCAGTACACTCGAGGCCATGCAGAAGACACGGAGGCCCGCAAGCCTGCCACAGTTGAAGATGTCGCTTCAGGCTGACGGCTGGGCATTTCAAACTGGATTTAAGTCTGGAGAACTGTGCCTTGCACAGTTTCACCCTCTTCTGGAATGCGGCCTGTTCGAACTTCCGATGTGAAATGCACACACCTTACCCTGAACTGGCCTTCCGGCTTCTCGCTGATGTACTTCTGAAAGGCGCCAGCCGCTTCTGGGCCTTTGAGCTCCACTA